TCTCTCTATTGTTTCTATGACAATAAGAAGTAGTAATACTTTGTGTATTGTCTGAAGCATCTATGCACGTCATGTTCTATCCATCCATATGCATCTAAGATCGTAAAGAGCATACACAAACGGTACATATAGGACCCTAACAATGATTTCCTTCGTGGATCACAATGCCAGCCACCCCGAGTACACCAGAACAACTATTTCGAGTCTCTTTTTCGCAAATGGATGTTGACTGAGGAGTTTGAGATTGTGGGTGTTTACCGAACAAGCCCGAGTCGGCAACACATGAATGTGTTGGGGCATTTTTATCTTTTTAAAATGTGGCAAAAGTGTTGCTTAGCATATTAGTAAGTAAGCCAATACAATGTGATCATGGCCCTACATGCAGCGCAACACGCCAAACACGAGCATAGAAACCACGAGCCGCACATGGGTCCACATTGACGAACTCGCGAGAGGCATCATACGCAAACCATCGGCTCAGATCAGATCGCGCAAAGGAGCAAACAAGCGAGCATGAGCTGGCTCGGTATTAATAAAGGGGGACCAGGCAGCAGCGATGTTCCCTGAACTTTTTACGTTACAATCATAAATCACGGCTCGAAATATGTGGATTTTTTTCCTATTATACAAATCGACGAGACGAGTGTTATCAGATACAACAGGGTAGCGCCCCTAGCCTCTATATCGGTCCGCGCACACGGTCATAGCAAGTAATAAAAACCGGCAAAAGAATTACATTGTTTCCATAGATAGAATCACGGATAGACACAAAGACAATTCTGCAAAACCCCAAGAGCTTGACCAGACCCAAGAGCTCCCATCTTGCCAAGATCCTAGTCTCACTTGCATGATGCAAAAATTGCATGCCATCTTGTGACCAAAAAACATACTACTACTTGGCTTGTTGCATGCGGCTATGTGGCCGCGGCGCTGGGGCAAGGTACACCACCACTACAAAAAAACATAGCGGCGGCAGCGAACTCTGTTTCTTTGGCACTGTGAACAACAACTGGGTGGGTCTTTTTAAGTCATTGGGGGGTTGCTGCCGCTGCCCTGCCCTGCCCTGCCTCGGCTGCTTTTCTTGATCTCTCCTCCGGAAATTTGCTATCCTCCTCCTCCTCGTCATGGCACCACTGAGGGGGGCCAAGCGCCGGAAGCGGCACCCCGAGAAAGCCCTGCCGGCGGGGGTGATGGCGCCCTTGCCCCCGCCCGACGCCGCCGATTGGTGGGACTCCTTCTCCCGCAGGCTTGCAGCAGGTATACACACGTCCATGCTCCATCCCTCCTTCATCTCTTTCTTTCCGTCTCCCTGTTGGACCACTGTTGCTGCCCGTCCTTGCCCGTGCCCGTCCCTCGTCCCACGGCTCGCCGTGGCCTCGCGGCCCTCGGTAATGCGCGGCACCCTCTCGCCTCGCGTACGAGATTGCGCGTGGGCAGATTTCCGCGGTGGTGCTGGATCAGGGAGGGCCGCCGTTGAATTTGCACTGCTTCCTGCGCGCGCGTTTTCGATGGCGTTGCTTAATCCGCGGCCTTAATCTGGGCGGTTAGTGCAGTGAATCTGCTTTGTTCGGTGCGCTTGTTGGAGGGGTGGTCGGCTGCAGAGGCTCGTGTACGGTCGGTGCACGGAGGAACGGGCAATCTCCGGCGGGCGGGGTGGTCCAGATTGTTCTCCGAGGGCACGAACAATAGGAGCTTGCGAGTGCGGCGGCTCCGGCTGGTCTCGATCGGGTCGGGGATTGTTGGGGGAGAGCGGTTAGTTTTGACATTTGTTGTGGTTTTCTTGGTTCTTCGTCTCCATTTCAGATCTACCAAGCATGTGTGCAATGGTGTTTTGGGGCTTCATAACTCTGTAGCTGGTGTCAGTTGTGCCCATTGCGTCGACCTCGTCTACAATCGGTTGCTCGATTGTTCAAGCCTCGATGCTGCAAGAACTAACCCTTCTTTTTCTTTTCTGAAGCATGTGAAGTAACTTGTTTACATTTCCTGAAAAATTCAGTCAAAAGTTGCTGTACATGTTGTAGAGGAAAAACCGGCCTATCTGTTCACAGACAGTTCCACACAATTCGATAATTGTTTTTATTCTGTGCTGTTGGTGGTCATAGTATTATTGCTACTATTTGGGTAGAAATAGACGGACTGCTAATTTAGAAAACAGTTACTGTGGCTCATACAGATCATCACATGGGTTGAGCGATGCAGTACTAGCTTAAATGTTTTTCCAGGGTAACTCTTAAAACTTCTCACACTTATAATACGTACTTAAGAAGAGGAAGTGTTTGAATCCACGACCACTTTACTTAAAAATGGTAATGATATCTACAAGGTTGCAACTCTAGTATGTAACTCATAGGTCCTTTCTCAAAGAAGTTATCTGTATATTCAATTAAATAGTCGACTAATCTATTTAGATTCAGTAGGCTCTGTCAACATGGTGTATGAGTATGAAGTGAATGGGTCATTACAGACAGTTGCCCGAGAGAAGTTCTCCTGAACAAATGTTCCTCATGTAGCATGATGCCATGCTCTCTTATGGTCAAGAAATGTTTCTCAAGTCCTTAGACAGTGGATTTTGGAATCCCTCAAGCTCTAGGAAATGTTTTGTCTGAAATTTACCCAACTCTTTAAACTGAGTGCTGAAGGCATGTACTGATTTAATTTATATATTTAATTAACTTGGATCAATGATTTACTCGTATACTTTGAATTATCTTCTGCAGTCACTCATACAATTTGTTTTTTCCTAGTTTAACCATTTCTTGTACCAGTTTCCCAGCACATTCATAACTCTGTTTAGGTTGCAGCAGATATGCTGATAGAGTAGACTTATCTATTAGTTGGTGGAAATTTCCCAGTATTGCTATAAGATTTTTATTACCTGTCATTTCTAAGTTTTAACTCACTGTAAGGATTAGGTACCTTCTTCCTTGCCAAAGTGTATGTAGACATGATAGGGATAAGACTTATACATTTGATGTTCATGTTGAAGAATGAATTGAATCTCTTGCATTGAAAAAGCATGGGAAGAATGAATTGGGTCTCTTGCATTGTAAAATGTATACATTTCATGTTCATGTTTGCCACACAGTTTTGTGGTACAATAAATTATGATATCAGATTGTGACACTGCAATCTTTTGTTTACACAGGACACTACTCCAAAGACTGCCAAAACTTTGAGTCAGTCTTCAAGATGTCGAGGAAGACATTCGACTACATTTGCACTCTTATTACCGGGGACTTCTCAAGAAAGACACAGGGTTTCAGAAATTTCAGGTTTGGAGACAAGACAATTCTTGCGTTGGAGGATCAAGTAGCTGTTGCTCTGTTGAGACTGACGACTGGTGAGTCACTTCTGAGCATAGGGAATCGCTTTGGAATGAACCACTCAGCAATCTCAAACATCACTTGGAAGTTCATCGAGTCCTTGGAGGATCACGCAATCAGTCATCTGAAGTGGCCTGACCCTGAGGAGATGGCGACCATCAAAGCAAAGTTCGAAAAGCTCCAGGGCCTCCCCAACTGCTGTGGCGCCATAGACACAACACACATCCTCATGTGCTCTTCAGCTCAGCCTAACAGCAATGTCTGGCTTGACTGTGAGAACAGGAACAGCATGGTCCTGCAGGCCGTTGTCGACCCCGACATGCGGTTCAGAGACGTTGTCAGTGGCTGGCCTGGGAGCATGGATGACTCCTGCATCCTGCGCACCTCAGGCTTCTACAAGCTGTGCGAGAAAGGCGGGAGGCTGGACGGCCAAATGGAGCTTCCTGGGGAGCCAGCAGGGTCAGTGGTCAGAGAGTACATCATCGGGGACACGGGCTACCCTCTCCTTCCCTGGCTGATGACTCCATACCAAGAGCGCGATCTGTCTCCGGCAAAAGCAGCATTCAACAAGCAGCACGCCGCGGCGAGAATGGTGGTGCAGGGTGCTATGGCCAGGCTGAAGGAAAGGTGGCAGGTACTCAAGGGGGAGTTGTGGAGGCCTGACAAGCACCGGCTGCCGAGGATCATCTACGCCTGCTGCTTGCTCACCAACATCATGATCGACCTCGGCGACACACACAGAGAACGGGCACCAGCGTCGCACGACCATGATGACGGTTACTATCAGCAGTTCAGCAATGTGGCCGATGATGGTGCGGTCGTGCAGAGGGACGTGCTTTGCCAGTATGTCAGCAGGCCAGGCAGCAAATTGCCGTAGTGATTCTCGCCCTCTAGCTGCATACCGTGCGCCTCTTCGCCTATTTTTCTCTCTGCTCGACATGAAACAAATGATAGCTACAGAACATAGAATCGTGATCTGGATATTTGTTACCCTTGCGATTGTTATTGGTATTATTAAATAGGTCATAGAAGTTGTAACCTGAATTGCGGTTACTTTGAAGAGAGTCTGCTTTGCTCGTTATTGGCAATGATATTCTCAGGCAAGGGTATTGTTGGAATTCTACCTTCGTCTCATGAAATTAGCAACCTGAGATTTTGATTCCTTATGTAGTCTGTGAATCGTTCGATTAAGCTGTTTTGGATGATTCAGTAGAATCATAGGGGAAAACTCAAATGATTTAACAGGATGGAAGAAAGTTGCAGATCACAAGAAATTGGTAGCATCATGGGCTGCTGCTGGATTATTATTATGCACCAAAAGAGAGGTGAGACAACAAGACCAACGACTGCACCATCACAAGTTTCTTATACAGACCTTAGAAGGGAATCTGGTAACCAGTTAGGCACTTAGGCCGCACATACTCCCTCCGTTCGGAATTTTAGTTCTAGATACATCCATTTTCAAGACAAGTAATTTCGAACGGAGGGAGTACATCTCTGCGACAAAATGTCGACGAGCACCACAACAATAGACGAACGAACGAACTCACGTGCAAAGATTCAAGTCATTTTCTCGCTCTTTCTTTCTTTCTTGCAAACTAGGTGCACTGTGCTACAAGAGGAAACACACGAGTTCAATGCTGGGCGCATCGCCAACCCGAAAGATGCCTACACACACTACTTCAGAAGAGACCTCGCGAAGTGCTCTCTTGCTGTCGCTAGGGCTTGGCTTATCGTCTGCAAGTAGAGGGGAGAAGAATAAGTCATCTGGAAGTAGATAGGTTTCAGCTGGAACCATTATCACAACTGTGTTATACCTGCTCAGTGAACGACCCAGCTCCTTCCAATCCATGGCCTGACACCTTCTCGGCTATCACATTTCCATCTGTTTCCAGAACAATCCTGCAAGGCCATTTGTGAACAATCAAACCTATTCAATCGATTATATGCAGGTCCGCAACTCATCAAATAAATAACAATCTGCCTGACCAAAAAGTCTGAATTATCATGGCACACGTGCAAATGTTAAGTTGAGGCTATTTTGCTCATGTCCTCAACAGCTCAAGACATACATCATATTCCAATTTCATAAATCTGAACGATTATTGTGTGGTGATAGAAATCAGGTACAGATGTTTTTTTGAAACAGTGAACAGCAAAAAATCCCTAACGCTCAAATTAATTACCACGAATTCAAACTAAAAGATACCAATAAATAAAGCACCACAAACATCCGCCCTCCTTAGTCCCTTTGTCTTTGCTATCAACTCTATATAGGTGATCCTAATTGTGAAAGTAAAAGTGCTACTCACTCCGTCCCATATTAATTGTCGCTCCAACGGATGTATCTAGACGTATTTTAGTGCTAGATAAATCCTTTTGGGCGACAATTAATATGGGACGGACAGAGTAACTGAATTCACTGCTGAAGATACAAAAAACTAGAAAATGACTATTGCACGCACCATTCCACAGAAATAAGGAGCCGAAATTTATTTATTTTTAAAGGAAACCAACACTATAGCATAATAGCATGTGGAAGCATGAGAATTACCCTCCATCAACAACTTCGTCAAGGCACAAAAAGATGAGATCCAGATTTTCAAGTGCGGTCCTTTTGTCTACATTGTTTCTGGAAGGAGAGAAAATACTCACTTTGATTAGCAAAGCAAGAGGAAACAATCTGGCAACATGGAGGGAGGATAAACCACAATACAAGGGATTTGCGGGACCTGAGAAGAATGCCAACAGCATCAGAAAATCCCTGAAGAACTGACGCTAAAATGAGCTCATTCTCCTCATCTCCTCCAGTTACAAAAAAATGGAGATCTTGGATGAACTTGTACACAATGATGTAGCCATCGAACATTACCACATCAGCTGCAAAATGACAAACAAAACAAACTAATAGGTGCAAATAGCTGGACGACTATAACAGAAAAAAAAACACCATACTAACAAGTAAATTACTCTGTTTTCTCATCAAAACTATAAGAGCAATTGAAATTACCGAAAACTAATGTTTACCCAAGAAAAGGTAATACATATAAAATGATGCCGAGCATCACTTAGAAATAATGCAATGGTGCATACAGAGTCTTTTATCAGAATTTCTAATTGTTTGGTGAATTTTACAAATAGTTGCAGAATTCATGAGCATAATACTCTGCAGTGAAACCTGAGGAAAACTCAAACATGAGAACTAAGCCTAGCAAGACAAGATTACAAGAAAAATGCAAAATACATGGACACGAGTGGCCGATGACGTTGGACATGAGTGTTCATCAATACGACTTGGTCCACTGCGACAGTGGCCGATGACATTGGACACGAGTGGGAGATCCAGCAGCTTGATCAATGATGCAGGGTGGTGTTCTATTTGATAGTCAGGAGTAGTTCTGTGGTTTACTTCGTGATGGCCAGGGTGTTCCGTTTCCCATTCTGGTTGTAACAGACTCTTTTCTATCTTAGTGATCTAAACACTCTTATACTTATTTCTTTACAGAAGGAGTAACACGCAATACTCATGCGTGTTCTTTTTTGAAATAAAAAATTTCCAGATGACAAAATTATAGCATCCTTGTTCAACACAGCAAGGCAACAAGGGATTGAAAGAGATGAGCCAAAAAAAAGGCACGATGCTCCAACAAGAAGGTACACCTGATGAATGTACTGCAGGGACCTCACAAACTGTAGCCAGTAACAGTGTTAAACAACTAGGCCCATTTGGTTGGCAGAGAGTGAGGTCTTAATCAGTGTTCCCATGAAGATGGCGGTTTTTCTACACGCTATGCACATTTCACATTTGGTCCATGAGGAGAATGTAAACTTGCATTTTACATTTACCCTCGCAGCGCACAGATGCAGTGAAAAAAGAAACACTTTCCTCGTCTTTCAAGAGGCAAACTCACCCTCTGCTCTGGCGCTGGTCTTCTGGGTCTTCACGAAGAGCGACTTCTCGAAAGCCAGCTTGGAGGACGCGGAGGGCCAGTCATCGGCATAGTACTTGACGGCCACGCGCTTCCCCTCCGCGTCCAGCACGAGGATGTTCTTGACCGAAGGGCAGGACGCCTGCACGGGCAGAGACCAAAGCCAACAACCTCTGAGAAATAATCACTCCTGGCAGGCGAAATTCGTGGAGTAACACATCGCAGTACGCTAATTCCGCCGAGACAGAGATGAAAATTGCGCCAGAAATACTTGATTTTGCCATCCGTTCTGGGGCATAAACCCTAAGTAAACCGGGCAAACGGAGACGCGCGCGGTCGGATTTTGCCGGAGGAGGGGGCGGGTCAAGGGATTACCATGTCGAGGGGGGAGGAAGAATTTGCGGGCGCCGGGAGCGGGACGGACGACGGCCAGCCGGAGGGAGCGGCGGGTTGCTGCTGCGCGAGCGCAGGCGAAGGGAGGGCGACCAAGACGAAGATCAATAATGACAACGAGGACAGAGTGGAGTAGTTTTTTTCATTTCCCTTTTCATTTTCGTGTGAGAAAAGCGTTGGTTTATGCGGACCCGGCCCAAGCTACGACCGAGGCTGCTTATTGGGCTACCCTGGGCAATTCTCAGTTTCATTGGGTACCCATTGCGACAGCCCCGCAAGGATATTTTGGTAGGCTGAGAGTGCGCGTCACGGCCTCCTCAAATCCAGAGATCAGTCGTCGCAAGTTAGTGGAATTCAGGTGGCTCCTTCGGCGCCCCCGGTTAATCACTTTTTATTTGCTCATAATAGCCTGTTGTTTTCAAGGCAAATGGTGCAGGGGCGAGGGAGGTGTCAAATTTACTGAATTCTTATTGTCAAACTTCAGACCAAAGGATCAACAGTAATAAGTCCTCGGTCTTTTTCAGTAAAGGATGTCCAAAGTCTATCAGGCGGAAGGTTAAAGCTATACTCAATGTGCAAACTAAAACTCTTAATGAAAAGTATTTGGGTAATGCCATCTGGTATTGAAACTAGTAAAATCGGGGCTTTCAAGTATCTAAGGGATAGGCTTTGGAGCAAGGTTAAGGGGTGGATTGAGAAAGCAATATCTTCTGTGCGTAAAGAAATTTTGATCAATTCAGTGGCGCAAGTGGTCCCAGTGTTTTCTATGTCATGTTTTAAGCTCCCGATGGGGCTGTGTGAACACTTAAACAAGCTCATACGACAATTCTTTTGGGGGAGCAAAGAGGGCAAGAGAAAGCCTCATTGGGTCTCTTGGCATACAATGACACAACCAAAAAAGTAAGGCGGGCTTGGTTTCAGAGATCTTGAACTCTTCAATCTTGCACTATTAGCCCGACAGGCATGGCGTTTGTTGATTACGCCTGACTCTCTGTACAAAGTTTCACAAGGCGATTTATTATCCGGAAGAGAGCTTCTTGGATGCTGTTGTGGGCTCTCACCCCTCGCAGATTTGGCGATGGCTGATGGAGGGGAGGGACATGCTAGCTCAAGGTTTAATCCGAAGGATAGGCGATGGGGGTACCACGCAGATATGGTCACACAATTGGATTCCCAGGTACACTTCAAATGAAGCCAATTGCCTTCTTGTCACCGAATCCGCCATGGCGAGCTAATCTTCTACACCAGTTTTTTTTTGCCAGTCGATGTTGCGGCCATCAAGAACATACCTTTGTGCACCATTCCCATGTCAGATTTTTGGGCTTGGCAGTATGAAAAGAAAGGCTCTTTCTAAGTGAAATCAGCCTATAGACTGCTAGCAGAAACAAAGAGGAGAGGAGATGATCTGCTTGATGGGCGGACATCAGTTTCAAATTTGTCACAGGAGGAGAAGGGGTGGAGTTCACTTTGAAATATTAAGGTCCCTTCAGAAATCAAAACTTTTCTGTGGAGGCTCGCTAGGCATTCCTTGCCGACGGAGGATGCGAGAAAGCACATGCATATGAGTATAGTCGGTAATTGCCAACTATGTGGTTGCATCGATTCCTAGAAACATTCCTTAATAGAGTGCTCAATGGCACGATGTGTATGGTCTTTGGCTAATGAGGAGATAGTGGAAGAGATGGCTGATATTACTGAACCTAGTGCCAAACACTGGTTATTTCATGCTCAGGAGTCACTATCGCACGCACAATTTATGGAGATGGCAGTCACATTGTGGGCAACTTGGACAACCAGACGCAAGGCATTTCACGAAGAGGTCTATCAAATGGCAACACACAAGTTTGTACAACACTTCTTAACAGAGCTGGAAGCTATCAACGAGCTGACCCATAGGATGAGGAGGAGGCCATCAGTTCGTATGGCTGCACAACCGAGGTCGACTTGGACGCCCCCGCCGAGCGGACACATGAAAATGAATGTAGATGCAGGCCTATCTGACATAGGTGTAGCAGCAACAACAACAGTCTGTCGGGACAATACGGGCTCGTTCTTGGGCTCGTCGGCTCTTGTGTTTTTAGAAGTTACTGACCCTGCAGTGGTCGAAGCCATAGCTTGCCGCGAAGCACTTGCGCTTGCTAAAGACCTATCACTTCAGAGTTTGGTGGTGGCAAGTGATTGCAAAACAATAGTTGATGACATACATGGAGGAGTTGTAATTTTATTTTCGAAAATAGAGCATCGAATACTGATGCACATAATCTTGCCAAACACTCTTTATCACTCGATCAGGGTCGCCACCTGTGGCTCGTTCACCCCCATGACCCTTCGTGTATCCAGCTTAATTGCCTAGCTAGATGAATAAAGTGTTGGCGACTCTCAAAAAGAAGTATTGGACGCTCCTTCGGATTTTGTTCTTTCTTTTTTTAGCATTTTCGGATTTTAGATGCTTTTTCTGTTTTTTCTTCTTTTTGTCTTTTGTCCAGTTTTTCTTAGTTTTTGGAGAGAAAAAATCGAGAATCTTTTTTTGCTTCTGCGAGAGGCAGATTCACTGCGTGTTTTTTCCCTTTCCCGAGAGACACGGATTCGATTCTCGTGGAGACACAGTTTTACTTCCGCGAGTGGCATAGTTGTGCCTCTAGGAAAGGGGAAAATCGTGTTTGTTTGCTTCTACGACAAGCATAGTTATGCCTCTTGAAAAGAAAACCGAACTTTCTTGTTGCTTCTGCGAGAGGCATAGATAAGTTTCTCATGAAGGCACATGTTTGATTTTGCAAGAGACACAAACTGTGTCTCTCGAAAAGAGAAAAAAAATGTTTTTTCTTCCGCGAGAGGCATAGATTTGCTTCCGCGAGAAGCATAGATTTGTTTCCACCAGAGGTATAGCTATGTCTCTCAGAAAGGGGGAAACATGTTTTTTTCTTCCACGCAAGGCACATATTTGCTTCTCATGGAGGAACAAGTTTGCTTCCACGAGAGACACAGTTGTGCCTCTCGGATAGGAAAAAAATGTTTTCTTTTTTTTTCTTTTTGGTTCTTTGGAGGCACAGATTCGCTTTCACAAGAGGCACAACTATGCCTCTCGAAAAGAGAAAAAAGGTGGGTGAAATCTTGCCTCCAGCTTGGTTTTTCTCAGATTCTTTTTGAAAATAAATTCGTCAAACCTATTAATATGGGATATAGTGAGAAATTAAACGGTGAAAACGGTCCACGATTTGGTCACATGGTTTAAGAGTTAAAACGTTTGAAAAAACGAATCAATAAAAAAAGAAACTTCCAGGTTGCGACAAGTGGCGCAAATACAGATGCAACTTGTCGCATCCTGGAAAGGTGGGAATAAACTTTGCAAGGGTACCCTTAATTAGTGATGTCACTACGTCTCGCTATAGCATCTCTCGTTTAAAGGTTTTCCTCCATCGCTCATTTGGGATCGAGTAATCTTTCGATCCTCGCTCGATCGTTGCACTGGTTTGATCCGGTTTTATTTCAATTTTTTTGTTTTCTTTACGGTTTTCTTTATTTTCTATTTTTAATCAATTTTTTCAAATTTTTAGGCTCTTATCGGTTTATTTGTTTCTTCACAGTTTTATTTTCCTTTTTTGCTTTTTCATCGGATTTCTGGCTTCTTTCTTGTTTTTCCCTTTTCTTCAATTTTTTGTTTCTTCTCGGTTTTTGTTCTTTCTTTCTTTTCTTTTTTTTTCAATTCTTTTCTCCAGTTTTGTTTTCTATTTCTTGGTTTCTCTTCATTTTCGCATAGATTTTCATAGTTTTATTTGAGTATTCTGTTTTTCTTCATTTCTGTGGTATTTCTTTTGTTTCTTTGTTCTGTTTCTTTTTTTTCTTTTTCTTCAACACATATCTATATTTTTATATATAATTGTAGATTTTATGTGTACATCAGGATTTTTGTATACACACGTTTAATATTTTTCAAATACATCATTAACATTTTGAAAAAAATTGTTTGATGACTAATTTCTTAATAAATATTGCACTTTGTTGGTATATATCAACAAAAAAGTTATTACGTGTTTAACATTTTTATAATGTAAGATTAACTTTTTTATACATGATCAATATTTTAAAATTTTAATTTTTATATTCAAATTTTAAGACATGTTCTAAAATTTTCATATATGTGAGGAACAGTTTTTTTACACGTTTAACATTTTTTTCAATAGATGATTAAGATGTTTTCAAATTTTTGTGTTTGGTGACTACTTTTTCATACACATTGTACATTTTGGTATATATCAAGAACAATGTTTTATACATGGTTATATTTTTGAAATATATGATTAACATTTCTTTGATACATAGTCAACATTTTCTAAAGTTCATGTTTTTATGTTCAACATTTTTATACGCATTAATTTTTTTGGTATCATCAAAAATACTTTTATACATTTTCAACATTTTTAAAATGTATTATTAACATTTTATCAAATGCTCCATTCAAAACGTTAAAATATATGATCAACTTTTTTCATTAACATTGTATTTTCATATACATGAGAACATGTTTTCCTATACACATTTAACATTTTAGATTAACAAATTTAAATATTTTATGTAGAGTGTTTTTCTAATACTTATATCTAGAATGTTTTTTTGAGGGGTATATCTAGAATATTTGGCAGTCTAACAAAAGTAAAATAATGAAAACAGAAAACAAAACAAAATAGAGAAAAACGGTTTTGTGGCCTCCAGCGAGCTAGGCTGGCCCAGTCTTGCGCTCCCTCAGGCGAGGCTGTCCTACGTCTCGCGTCAAAGACATAGGGGCGCCCGGGCTATGCTGCTTATTTTATGTGAAAGAGAAAATAATACATACCTGAACGTTTCTAAAGAAATCTAAAAGATCCATATCATTTTTGTGGGGTGAACTATATATGTGTAAATTATGAAAATTTTGACCTCAGAAAAAAAATAAACTTATTTGTTAGTATTTGCACGGATCAAATTATATCATATTTTTAAACAAAATT